TCTGCAAACAATTTTTTTCTCATAATCAAGCCCATTATGTGAAAAAGTCAGCCTTAAGGAGTGTGAGGACACAGTTCATATAAAAATCAATGCAACCTTTCACTGAAGCATAAATCAGATCAGCTCTGACATATATGAAAATATTTGGGGAATGTTTAATGACATTTTTGTGTTCTTGTAAATTATTTGCTTTCAGCTGATTTTAGAAGCAGGAATAGGGGAAGCTCAGCTAATATCAGGAAACATCAGCAATTGAAACCACCAACTTTCTCATGATAGTTTCACAGAGCTGCATCTTATAGACCTTCCAACAAGCTCACACACACAGAATCACAGAATCTTTAAATGTAGAAAAGACCTCCAAGATCATGAAGCCCAACATTTGGCCTAATACCACCATGCTCAGTTTTCAAGCAAATTAAAAAAAAAAAAAACAAAAATCCCAATCTTTTGTATGCTTATCTGATCTTTTGATCTGAGGGAGAGCTGCTAACTTCTTTGAGGTTCACCAAAAGCTGATCTCTAACTAATTTTCAAGATAACAATGCCTAGTCCCACTGAGCCATTTTTCCCCTTCAGAATACAATGCAAGCATCAGTTAAAGCCATTCCTGCTGTGTGGAAAAGTTACTATTCCATTTGCTAACTTTAATAATTTTTGCTCCTGCATGCATGCCCTTTGAGTTTCTTCTATGTCCTGGAGTTTCTATGACTAAAATTCACATTTTGGAATTTGGTCCTCCAAGTAATAGTGCTAAGACAAATCCTTTGGATTAAAAAGAGTGGTGAGAGGCAAGGGAAAGAAAAACTCCTGCATGTGTTTACTTGAGGGAAAAGTAGAGCACTGTGCCTGGCTGACAGTCAAAGGTCCAGGAGCTGGAGCAAACCACACAGTAAGTAAATGAAGAGAGGACCTGTGGAAACCTGATGACATTTGCCCCCTATGGCTGGTATGGAGTATGGGAATCCTAGGAAGAGTGGGAATGACTGGACTAATAAAATATGTGAGCTTTCAGGATGCACCTTAGGCTGGAATATTTTATATCTGTAATAGTTTATTAGTTTATTTAGCTAGGACTTGTGGAAATGGGAAGAAATATGTGCCCCTCGAAACCTTTGTTTTTCAGTGCTGGCTGGCTGAGGCTGCAAACACACCACTGTTCAAGGGGAGAGAGCTGGGAGGTCAGTGGGCAGGTAAAAGGTATTTAAAATCAGAGGGCTGCATGGATAAGAGCTGCTCCTCTGACTCTATGAAAGAGAGGCACAGACCACTGCTATCAAAATCAAGTAGTGTTTGTTCTCTTAACTACAGAGAAGAAACAACATTTGCCCAGCAGTGAAGAGCAGTTACTGTGGCTTTGGAGTCTCCAGCATTTATCAGCGAGCTTGGAAATCATATAAACCTTATCTCCTTGTTTGTGTTTCTGAAAAACAGATAATTCTGCCCCCTGAAGACACTGCTATCTTTATTAGGCAGATGAAGTGGACTTGGTGCCTGCTCTTCTTCAGGCACTTGCATTCCTGCCCCATGGAATTTTGCTGGGATTTGGGCTGTTACTGTGGCCTGGGACTCTCCCTTGTAGACCTGCCGTCCCTTACTGATGGGTCCTCTACCAATTATCCTGGCCTATTTATTACTTACATACCATAGCACCCTTAACATATTTTGACTTGTTTCAGTCCCTCTGGACTACACATTTAGTCATTCTCCTCTTAGACAGAAAACTGCAGCCTTATTCTCTGCAATAAGTCAGCAGTTACTTTCAGATATTTGGCTACCTATAGACCCCTTTCAGGAATTAAACATGTTGGTAGGAAGTATTTAGTACGTGAAAGGTCCTCTCCTAGCCTGAGGTTTTGTTTTCCAATTTGAAATAATGAATTCCAGCCTCGACTCTGAAATCCAGAGCAAACACGTGGATTTAGCAAATTTGCCTTGGAGCATAACCCTCCCATACTGGGGTTAGGCACAGCTGTGGGTCATCCAAATGTCCTCTGCCACAAGGACATTGCCTCGATTCCTGCAGCATGTGGCGAGAAGGCAAACCAGTTCTGGTCAAGTTTAATCTTAGCTCCAGTGGGAGCTGAATCCCCTCCATCGCTCAGTGCTGCTCCACCACTTGGCTGTGGAGGGAAAAGCCTGCTGGGCAGACTGGAAGTTATACATGAGGGAAGCAGACAAGGCAGCAGTTGTTAGCTGGGGTTGTCAGGAAAACAGTTTGTTGGTGCACGGGGGGTCAGGGACGTGGCAAACTGCCTGAGAGCAAGTGCTTGCCCTTGCTGGGTCTGCCTGTGCCGGTGCAGAGGGCCAGGTCCCCTCCTCGCTCCCAACAAGGTTAATGGTGAGGCTTTTCTCAGCCTTACTGCTTCAGATTGTACCTGCAATACAGAGCCCACAAACACAGTGAGATGTTTCCCCAGAGGAGGAAATCCTGTTTTGTTGTTGTTTTTTTTTTCAGAGCATATTTTGCTGTTTCCAAAAGTAAGCAACATTATGGAACACAAAAATAGCTAGATATAAAAAAATAGATTGACTCTATTTACTTAAATATTTACTCAGATTATAAGCTTTCACATCTTTCAAATACACTGCCTTATATTCTGATTATTTAGGTCTCTGAATGTGAGGAATCCTGGAAAAAACCTTATTGTAATCTCAGTGTTCTGCACTTGCATAGGATGAACTTACTTCTTTTCCCAAGTAGAAAACTTGAAGAATAAAAACAGCCCAAAGCTCTGAGTACATTTGGAGGTTCAAACCTTCAAATACACTCCTGTGGCTTCATGTAGGGCATGACATCTCAGTAAGAGCCTGATGCTCCCTCCACTCAGAGGGACCATGTTAAGTGAACTGCCTGTGAGGTTCACGGTGTGGCTTCCTGGAGAAAGGTGTGTCCAAGCACAGGGCACTGAACCCCCTGAAGTCAACAGGAGGTTAACTCAGATTGCAGCTATTCCCAATAACCATGCACTGCAGACTGCTGGATTTTGTTTCAGTGATGATCTTCAAGTACAGCCAAAAGCGAATAGAGGCACGTTGACCTCATAGTTTTGTGAATACAGATTGAGCGTCCAAGACAATTAAAAGCAGGGAATACGTGCCATCTCCAAACCCCTGGCGAGCCACTGCCAGAAGTTACCGCTGCCCCATCCGAATGAAAAGACATTAACACCCGCTGCAGAGGAGGTTGGAAGGCAGCCATCCCCGATGGATTGCTTATGAGCACTGACTAGAGTCAAACTGACTTCAGTCAGAGATTTACACAAGCCTCATAATCTAATAGTAGAGTTTACTTTACGAGAGTGCCACACCAAAGATAGTAAAATGCAGTTTTAGCTAACAAATCTACATGCTTGAGCAGAAAAGCTACAGCCATCATGGAGCATGTCAGCACTGCAGAGCGCCTGGCGCAGATTTATAGTTTTCAGTTTATTGCTGAAGAGTTATTGTTAACTCCATTGTTACAGACTTTCTGCAATTAAAAGTTCCAGTCACACTTATCATTTTTAAACATAGCTAATAAAAACCAATAAATCCTGGGATGTTATAGGTTTTCCTGTGCTGTTAAACATCTGAGACTTTTTTTATGCTGGATTTTTGACTTGTGTAAGGATAGACTTAGGAAGTAAATTGGCTGTTGTAAGCTTTTTTACTTCTGATTTGCTTAGATCTGCAAAATTTCTTGTAGTTTTTCTTCATTATTATAGTAAAATAAAGAGTGAGGCAACACTAAGACCTTTTCCCTCACACATGCAACAGGTGATCATAAGCTAAGTACTGTCTCTTACAAGTCATCTTCCAACCTTCTGTGTTTTTTGTATCATAAATGATAAAGAATAATGGTTATTTTTGTTTTAGCAATGACTTTTGGTCTTTTCTCTCAAATGAGTAACATTTTCTCTCTTTTCTATTGCAGCCTTGAGAGAACGGACTTTTCATTTTCTCTGCAAGTGGTTACAGTCATAAAATTCTACTTCTCACCATCTGTATTCACATGTTCAGAAAGATATCAGGGTACATGGATGAACCTAGAAAGGTGTACAGAATAATTCTACCCTGTGTATTTCCCATCACTTTATGAACTAGCCTCAGCTGCCTTGCAGTGAGCACTTCCAGGATCCAACTTCTACTGACAAGATTAAGGATCTGCTTTTTGAATGTTTCAAGGTTAATCATAGTCTCAAATTCCAGAAACATTCAGAGGTCCTAATGCCAAGTCAGTATATTATATAGCAAATAGTATCTAATGAGATATAATGTTCACACAAATAGTGTTCCCCTTATAGGAGCAGAGATACTGAAAAATCCAGAACATATCTAGGGGAAGAACAAATAACAAAAAACTCATATTCATCAGAAATCAGCCTCACTGTAAGAAAATTGCTCTTTGCACCCTGCAATTCATTGCAACAATTGGGATTGGCTCTTGGCACTACGAAAGAGTTTCACTATCTTTGAGATCGTCCCGATGGATTAAGTATACAGACAGAGGAAGTAAGGAAAACAACATACATGATCTAGAATAGAGATTACTGAATGGAGGGGTGTGTATACACTGAGAACCAATATCCCTCTGAGAGCTTTGGGAGGCTAAGAGGCTTGAAACCCGCTGCATAAAAATGTGGATCAGAAACTTTATCAGGGTGAACGCATTTGTTCATCCCTGATCTCACCTCTTCCCATACACAAGAAAGAGGCAAAGGTTTACACCAGGTGAGATGCAGCTTGGCTGAAGCTCTGGGCATACTTTTCCCCAGCAGTGTCATTTAACACACAACATCTCCAGGTTTCACTTATCAAGTACAGCAGCTGGGAACATTATGTCTTTACAATTGTAAAGTCCGGTTTCTGTATCAAAGGACGCAAAATGCTCACGCCCACATCTCTGCATTTTTTAAAGCCCATCATCTACTGGAAACTTTTGCAATCTGCTTCAGAGATTTCATAGAAAGAAAGAAAGAAAGAGAGAGAGACGCTTGGGTTTTAAGAAAAAAACTTACCAAAAATAACTGAAGTTCTCTAAAGTTGCCCTGAAGTTGAAATAGCCCAGAACACCAGTGCAGAGCCTGCCTTAAACTCTCTCTCTTTCTCACTCCCCCTCTCTCTCCAGCAATTGGAAGGAGGGCTGTGCAGAAATTCAGCAAACAATTTTCCTTCTATGTCGACCGGGGCGTTCCTGACGGGCAGAAAGGGGATGGCTGAGCCTGGGTGAGGCTCGTTGCTATCCCCAAGGCAGAGAGCACTGTCGCAGATTACACAGCCTGTGAAATCCAATCCCTTTCTCTGCTCGGGCAACAGCTGTACGGCTTCAGCTGAGGCGGGAGCAGGGGACAGAGCCTGGGCTTGCTGCTGCTCAGGCTTTCCATGCTGGGGACACTGAGGAATGGGGGCACGGGGGTTTTTGGGAGCTCCGTGTCCTCTCGCAGCTCGCTGCCTACAGCTGCAGGCGCTCGCAGGGTGGAGATGCGGGGCAATTTCCGCGGGACTCAAAGTATATGGGATGTGGGCGCCCGCGCAAAACAAACATCTCTTTTCCTGAAATTCATTCCCAGCCTTGCTTCAGGACATAACTGGGTAATTAGCGTTGTATGTACTAATAAATTCTCATGCAAGCATGCACACACACAGGATGCAGTCTGTCCGCCTGTCACAGCAGCGCGGTTCAAACGGGCTTCAAGGCTGCCCCAGTGTCTTCTCCAAGTTATTTTTTCCTTGTCACTTTTAGTCAGCCGTCTGATGCTTTCCCTGAAAGCCCCCTGAATGCTGAGCTGACAGTCCTTCCACCCAGTCAAACACTATGGTGGCTCGCAAGGTGGGAGTGCCAGTGCTTGGAGTTGTGTTCAGCGTGTCCTGATATTCTACACTTGAGCGAAGCTGCTTAATGCCAGCAAAAACGGATTTATGAAAATTCCCAGCCCCTCCTCTCACCTGTTTCTATTTCATCCCATGTAAAGGAAAGAAATTTCTAATACAGCTGATTCCTCCCTCTCCCAGGAATTCCACTGATCCTTTAACTCCTCCTCCCTGAAGCTTTAAAAATTCACAGTAACAGATTTCGGGTTTCCATGTTTTACAGGCGCATCTGGCCGCAGGTTTGCATTCTGTCAAACAGGGGTGAGGTGGGAGAGGGTGCAAAATACAAACAACACATAAGCAGCCCTGGGAGTGTCCTGTAATTGCTCCAGCTGCTTTGCCAACACCCCAGAGCAGGTAAAAAACACTCCAGACAAAGGAGAAGGAAAACCCTGGTGTTTGCAGAGCAGCCTCATTTCGTGTCGAGGTAGATGCCGTGCTTGGGATTTTTATGCTGTTGGCTCTGAATAAGTTTTGATACCTGAAATTCTGCAGATGTTGGGTTTCTGGACCCAAGTTTGGAATGGGCACATATGGCTTCCACAGAGGGTATTTAAAAATCTGAGAGGGGAAAGTGAATGTCTATCTCTGATTCCATCCTATGTGGGTACTTAACAGGCATTTTATGAAAACTGTGTCACTCAACTACAGTATTTATATTAAAGCCAATTCTTTGACTTGTGCAATTAATGTATATCATTAAATCTAATTATACATTGCTCATTAATTACAGATCATATATATAACTTAATTTAGAAACACTATCTGTAATTTTATCTAATAAACATACACAGTTTTTCAGCACATGAACTGAATAACACTTCAATTGTCTCTTACGTGATTCTATTGTATGTCTATAAAAATAAATAATATATAATCACATATGTATGATTGTATACTATATCTATAATCATAGAGAATTTATATATATTGTGAAGCAGTATATGCAGTTTATATGTAACCTCTGTCTTCTTGCCAGTGTGACATCCACATAAAGAGTTTAAAGCAGAGATTGGCTGTAGCCACTGCAAGGTGGTAAGGCTGTGAAGGAGGAAGATGAGGCAATGGGAAGTGTCAGCACACAAATGGCACCTGAAAGTGTTGAAGGCCAGGCTGGGTGGGGTTTAGAGCAACCTGATCTAGTGGAAGGTGTCCCTACCCATGGCAGGGGCTTGAAACTGGATGGTCTTTAAAAGTCCATTCCAACCCAAACCATTCTATGATTCTGTGTTTCAAGCATGATGTCCTGCAGCTGCTGCAAGGATGGAGGTGGCCAGAAGCAATGAAGGCCTCCTGAGGTGCAGTCCACAGCAGCAGAGTAAACTGAGATGGCTGAGAATGGGAAGAAGACATTGCTAAGAGCTGGCTCAGGCTTGCTCTGCTGCCATCCCTATTTCTGTGCACCATCTTTAGGACTATACCAAGGTCCAGCCTTTCTGAGCCATCTTACAACATCCTGACAAACAACATATATTTTTAGAAACAGACATGCAAAACAAGGAGTCCAACCTACATCATGGATTCATGTGGGGACAGTTCATTTGGGTGCAGAACTCTGGGTCCTGCCTCCAGAGCGAGGGGTGGCAGCAGCTGCAGTGTGCTCCATCCCCAGCCAGTGCTGCATTTCAGCTGTCTTTGCTGAATATATGGATGGGCGTTGTTTCGATCTTTTAAGAATTTTTAAAGCCCACATGAGACAAACTCCTGGCTAAGTTGAGAGAAGCCAACTGTTTTTCCATAAACCTGGAAGAAATGACTCTGTTCGTTTTCATGGTATTGGGAAATCTATGTTCACTGTCAGTGGCTTTTTTCCAGTTTCATCTCGGAGCTGAAGGTGTAAGCCCGGATGTCTGAGCACTGCCCTGCAGCTGTGGCTCCAGCGAAGACAATCTCTGCTGTGTCAGAGATTTATCCCCATGCAACTTCAATCCTAAAACCTCCTCTCTTTTCAGCCAATATGGTGCTGTTCTGTGATTGTCAAATTATTTCTACATTATTTGACTGACAGGAATTCATAATGTGCACTTGGTTTATTTTTAAATATTTATCAAAACCACTGTTTGTCTACTGAGCTATTGAAAAAATGCTATCAGACTGATAATTTCCCAATTCATCAAGTGATTCCAGCACGAGTTATTCAGTGAGAACACTCCAAAGAGCCCCTGTGTTTACTCTTCTTGACAGACATCTAAATGTTAAAAGATAAAGCTCTTTGAGTTACGCTGCGGCAATATTAAAAAATATTCCTTTAGCTCAACTGCCTTTCCAGGAAGCACATTTCCCATTTCTGTGTTACAACGTTGTTTTCTCTACTCTGTTCACAGGTAAGGCTGCAAACACACAATGGAATGACACAAGCTTTCTTTTATTAGTGTTATTCACACCCTGATGTGTGCATGGACTCATGTCAGATTTACGCATAAGGGTGTGCTGCTTTAATAGTAATTGAGAAATGAGATGGAAAACAACGGGAATGTTCCTGTGTTTTCTTTGACCCAAAGAGAGAGAGACAACATATTCCATGAGATTATAGTAAAGCATGCCCTGGAACACAGAGTCCTGCAGTTTAGTGTGGAGGATGCGAGGGTGATTGTTTCTATTATTTTTTCCTTTTTAGCAGTTACGAACCTTCAGATATTTGGGGGACAAATATGAAGGCACAAATTTCCACAAGTAGATAAGACTGGGTTCCTGAGATCATCTAAAGAAAGCAAACTTGTCTGCACAAATCAGAAAGGAGTTAAAAAATTGAGGACCTCCAGCTGAAAGAGAAATAGGCTGCTAAGAGAATGAACCACAGGAAAAAGAAAAAGGAAGGGAGAGACAAAATCAATGTGAATTCAAGATGTAGAAGAGTAGATGGAACTGAACATCAGACTGCCAATGACAGGAACGAATGGGTGGAAGCATCTGGCCACCAATTCTTAAGTTCTGACCCAGAGGAAGATAAATGTAACATTAATTACCAATTTACAGACATCTCCCATGCTTTGTCTCCCATGACTGCATTTTGTTACAACACAGAAATGTATATATTTATCTATTTCACAGGCAGTTAGATTGAACTAAAAAGGCATTTAAGCCAGCCACACAAACGTCCTCTGAATTTCTTCTCTTTTGCAATACATAAGCCACTAATTTGATTGATTTGCTTCAACATTTTTTGCATAAAACTCTTCCATTTTCAGGTAAACATGCAACTTCACAAACAGAGAGAGAGCCAGGTATGGAAATGAGGTTCCATCACTGCCTCTTCTAAGAAACCTCAGAGAGGTTTCTAAACCTCAAAGACCTCTTTCAATTCAGATGAGCTCCCCCCCACAAAAAGTGAATGGGTGTCATTCATGTATTTTGTGACTTAACTGAAATCTGTCCTCCAAATAGATTGGTCTTTTCATCTGAGAATTTACTCAGAAGAGGCTCCAGTGGCTACCTGCCTGTCACAAGTCCTACCAGCACTACCTGCTTCCTCCACTAACACCAGGATGCAACTGATAATATTTTGTAAGAAGGAGGTTTCTCCTTTGTGAAGATAAACAAATGTCAATTCCAGGTATCCAGGGCTGCAGTAGTATAATCCAAACTTATGGTAAAATAACCTAAACAAACCCAGTGAAGAGTTGTATATTTTCAGAAATTCAAATATTCTCTTCCAGATCCTACATACATACTTTTTTTTTTTCACTTTAGTGGCTAATACTGTTGATGATAGGGGAAAAAAGAAAAAAAGCAGATCTACAACCAGCATAAACAAAAAACCCCAACAACAACAGAGAAAGCATTATTTAGAAATGAAACTAAATGAGATGTTTCCAAGAGAAATCCTTTCACTAACAGGAGGAGAAGAAAAAGGGAATTAATTCACTCTGCAGAGTTTCTTTTATTTTTGTCCTCGGGCATATGCTCCATCTCCCTTTGTCCCCCAAATGCATTTCCACTGGCCCTGACAGTGCTGGCATTGACCCTCTGCAGCCAAAATAGCTTGGACTGAACGAAACAGAAAAACAGGAGCCAGGCAGAGCAAGGGGCAAGGCAGCCATGGCCAGGGAGCTGGGGGAGCACTGCTATAATTAGCGAGGCTCCTACAAAACACACCGTACTCCTGGAGCTGCTGCCTTCCTGCCCTGCCAGTGCATTGTAGATCATTCCCAGCAGAGGGGAAAAAAGCCACCCCTGCAGAACTCTTCACACCCCTGGCCTGAGGAGTCACCATCAACACCCTCCTCCACTGCTGCTCACCCATCTCCAGACCGTGCTGTGGAGGGCTTTAATTAAAAATTAATTAAAAATTAGTATTTACTCCATGTTCCCCACAGCCATCTCGTTCCCTGCTCAACTGGGAATTCAGAGCTTGCTGACC